AACATCAAGCTATTTGTGTGGGACCAAGATCATAATGCATGTATTGTGGAGGCAGGAGGGAGAAAAACCATGACAAAGCTCTGCAGTTGGTGTGCAAGTTCACAGGGTCTGTAAAAAGAGACAAAAGCTGCAGGAGAGGTAGATAGAAGATAGCTATGCATCTCATTTCTTTCCTATCAGTAACTATAACAGAGGATATCAGTTGCTGGGGAAAAGAAACTGGGAAATTCGAAACCAGAAACCTACTCAAGAGGTTGATATTAAAATTTTCAAGTTATCATTAAGAACACCCAAATATAAGAAAGTTCATTTCTTACCTCATTTCTTTTCTTTCCTTTTTCCATTCTTCTAAAACCATTTGAGAATCTGGACCTCTATGGACCTGAACAAAAAATATAGATAAAGTAACTGAACATGCCATTTATAAAAAAAGTGCTGCTTGAGAGAGTTTGTGCACACCGGAAAAAAAGTTTGAAGGTGGGCAAGCATCAAATGCAATCATCAAAGAAACAGAAATATGCAGAAATCTGTTATGCCCTACCCACCAAACACAAGCTGAATGCCATGGTACATACACAGATTCTTTTACCAACAGACTTGAAGAAAGAGTTTTTGTCCAGTAAGCTTTAAAACACAACATCATTTTGTTGCTTTTGCTTCCGCTCAGTATGTTTTGAGACCCATTAGAACCTGAAGAAACTAGCTGAATAAAATTCAATCCTTCTTGCAATTTTTGTTCATCTACAATCAGATTTAAAGGCTTAAATGTAAACGACTTAAAATCAGACAGAAAACACTTGTAACCTGAATTGTAACTTGAAGAATTGGCTGAATTCCCTCTGCTAAATAAAACCTATTTAAAAGCACACAAACCTGCATGTGCTCCAGTAATCCAGTCAGGGTTTGTAGCCAAGTCATGGTTTGAATGTATTTCTCTGTGTTCATGATTTTAATCTCTGATCGTAACTCTGGAATAATAGCACCAGTGCGCCAGCCATGCTTCAGAGTCAAATCCTATTTACCAACAGGGATAGCAAAATGTAAATGAAAAATTTCTTACAATTCTTTAGCCATACAGGGGTATCAAATTAATTGCTTCCTATACATAAGCAGAAATCCAAAGCACGTGATCGTCAGGCCCTCCTAACACAATACAATATTTTTAAAAATACATTTCAAATTCTGCTTTTCCGAAGTCAGAGGACTGATTCTGGTGGGGCAAAGGAAACTTCCCATTGTTCACTGTGTCACAGGGTACCCCCACAAAAGTGTTGAGTTACCCTGCTCTATAGGCAGTCTGCCCAGCTCTCCCCTGCCACACCATGAGGTTATACACTGATGTTAGTTCTTATACAGCATGCAAAAGGCTGCCCTGATCTTATAACGACCAGGGATCCGAGTTTTCCATTTTCAATGGAAAAAACAGAGAAAATCCTAGATTTTTTCCCCCCTTTACCAAATGCAAACACAGATTCTCATTTTACCAAAGAAACCCACAGATTTTGTAGTTTTACTATGAGACCTCTACAGGCTGTCAGACTTCCAGCCTGCAGGGGGCTGGGAGACAGCGGGAGGAGGACGGTCAGGCAGGGGTGCCGTGTACATGTACATGCACATGGCTGCCAGGCAGCCTGGAGAGCAACTCCCGCAGGTAAATTGGGGTGGGGAGAGGGGATGGAGTTGGGAAGGGGTGGGGCTGGAGCTGGGGCTGCTGCCCAGCTAGGTGGTGCATGGGGCTTGGGGCCCTGGGCTGTAATGTGCAGCCACAGAACCCTGGCAGGGGCAAGATGAGACCACAGGCAGCCCATTCAGAGGGTGGGGGCACAGGGCTGGCTCTCCACTTCTGCATGGACTCCTGGGGGGCAGGGGGACCCATGACCCCCAGATCTGTGTGTGGGGCAGGGCTGGCTGTCCACTGCGGGGTTGGACTCCTGCCCTGCTGCCCTCCACTGGGCCCTCCACCAGTGCAACCCAGCACTGCAGGGCAGAATGGGGCCACGCGGGAAAGCTGCTTGCTGCTGTGAGCTCTGCACTGCCCTGGCGACATGTCCCCTGCAGCAGCGAAGGTGGCAGCACGAGGTTGTGCCCTTCCCTGCAGCTGCGTGCACAGGGGACACATCTCCAGGGAAGCATGGAGTTGCATCAGCAAGGAGATCCCCACGCAGCCCCGCTCTTCCCTGCAGCACTGGATCACACCTGCCAGGCTGCAGAGGCCCTGGGGGAGGGCAGCAGGGCAGGAGCCCACAGCAGGCAGCTCATGCCTGCCCTGCACACTGGTCCAGGGGGCACATGTCCCCCTTGGCCCCTGGGAGTGCACGCAGCAGCAGGGAGCCAGCCCCTCCCCCCACCACCCCCCAAGCCTGCAGCAGGGGGGAGAGCCAGTCTCCATGCTCTGCTCCACTGCAGCAGCCGCCACCTCCTGCTGGGGGCAAGAGACTGTGGACACAGGTCCCTGGCCCCATAGCCCTGCAAGCTGTGTGCCCCCTCCAGCAGGGCTGGGGGGGGGGAAGGAGGAGGGTAGAGTGAGGGGCTTTTCATTTTAAATCACGGATTTGGGGGAGTTAATCAGAGAATTTGTGATATTTTAATTGGGGAAAATCAGGATCCCTGATAACGATCACCTGGATTGCGGTCCTGGCCATATGCGCCAATTGCATGGCTCCACACCTTCCCTATACCATTCCCAATGCCTCGCAGATGGCATCCTTACAGATGTTCTACCAATTGTTGATAGCGCCCCTCACTAGGCCTTCTGACCCCTCAGCCATACTCTGGGCCTTGAGACCTGTTGGTCTCTTCACACAGCCCCTTCCTGGGCTACCAGACCCTTGATCTCCCTCTCAGCCCCACTCAGGTTGCCAGACCCCTCAGTCTCTTCTATGGCCTCTCAGACCCTTAAGTCTCACACAACCACTCCCTGGGCTGCCAGCACCTTTTGGTCCCTCGTCCTGGACCATTTTAGTTCTTTACTCTCCTGGCTGTTTTCCAGGCCCTCAGACCCACCCAGTCCTGCACTCTAATCCCAGCCCCTCACTAGGCAACTGGACCCCTCTGGTCCCACTATGCTCACTGGGCCTCACTATATTCCTCAGACCCCTCGCCAGGCCTCACTATCCAGGCTGTCTGATCTGTCTGGCCCTGCACGCTATCCTTTGGTCCCTCACTGGGACACACTCTATTCCCCAGCCCCTCACTGGGCCACTGGACCCATGTGGTCCTAGTCTTTCCTGCCAAGTGCTTTTCTGTTGGGGTGTGATCCCCTAGCTTTCCCCCCCTCCATGGAGTAACCCACAAGGCAGTAGGAGTTGAGGCTTTCCAGTGCCTCATCTTCACTTTTCCCTGGAGCGGCCCATATGTGGCATTTCATGGAGGCTGCCCTGCCACAAGCAGCCCCACCATGCTAACCAGCCCCAATAGGGTGCAGTTTCAGATCCTAACCAAGACCAGTCTTCAGGCCTTCCTGATCTTACTTGTCACTCTCTGGCCTTCCCCCAAAATGTCCTATGCCCCTCCTGGGCTGCTAACCACTGGGCCCCCTGGCCCCATGTCTCATCTGACTCCTCCACCTCTGGCCCCCAGCTCACTCTCAGACCCCTTCCTTGATCCCTCCTTATCATATGGCCTAGCACCAGCTATCATGAGCCCAGCTGCATGCCCCTTGACCACTTCCTCTTGGCTGCAGCTGCACAAGGACCTTCAGCCTCTCTCAAGCCCTGGTCCCACCTCGGGCCAGTCAAGAACTCCAGGATTTCCTGACTCTGACAGTCTCTGCCGTGGTCTATTTCACCCTTCGTCCCCTCCTGGGCCCTGGCCCCATGCAGGCCAGTCAAGATTCCCAGGGTCAGTCCTCAGCCCCCATCTCTGTGGGTCCACCCCTCAGGCCCCTCCATAGATCACTTCCCACCTCTGGGCTCAACCAGAGCCCTCCACAGGTCTTCCCTAATGCAGCTTCTTCCTTATTTGGGCTCATCCAGAACCCTTAATAGGCCCCCATACTCTGCCCCATTCACTGGGTTCACCCAGACCCTTCACCAGGTCTCTGAAACTTTTAGCCCCTCTCTCAGGGCTGGCCCCCTCAATAGGCCCACAGACTCTCAGTCCCTTTCCCCAGATGTTATTCTCCTTGCTGGCATTCAAGAGCTGCAGCCTTCCTGCTGGGTGCTGTTCCTTCACCAATTTCCAAGATGTTACTGGCAGCCCTGTTCTTAGGGGCTGGGCTTATACCCCATCTAAACCCAACCCTCCTCCAATCAGGTGACTCCCTTGATCAGGCCTAGCCTCACCTGCTGCCTGCTCTGGGTCAGCTGACTCTTCAGTTAGCCCTGACCCCCACCTGCTGGTGGCTCAGCAGGCTGACTGACCTCTTAAAGTGGCAGGTACATCAAGTGATCTGCCACACTGCATCAAGGAACTCTACTGGCATAAGGTCAGGGGAGTGTACACAGCTGGTCAATGCTCCACAATATTCATGTACTTACCTCCCTTGGCATACCACACCACAAGACACTCCCCCTATTAGCTGCTAAAACTTCCACAACTGACAGGTGTTATCATGAGGCAGCT